AATTGTTTAACTTATATTTAACTTACCAGGCATTTGCTAAGCTTCAGCTCTATGCAAGCTACCCATGGGGGATGGGAATACAGGCTCTTAACAGGTAGAGATGGGAGGAATCCTATAAGCCATTACAGAAGAAAGGAAGGGTGGCATATTGGAGGAATAATGAGTATTACCAGCGGTAGAGGATGAGTGAGGAGAATAAATAAGACGACAGCAGAAAGGCAGTATATGCTCTTTAGCAAAGATGGGATCTAATGAAAACAAGTTTTAGAAAAAATTAACTGGTACATACATAAGCACTGGAGGAAAGGAATGGAGTTTGCTAGGACAGCTAAGAGGTTACTGCCATGATCCAGGCACAAGGAAAAGAATTCCTGACCACTGACAGAGAAAGTGGAAAAGAAGTTCTCCCTCTAGCGTGTTCTGCTTCCCACATTAACCGTTAGCTTGGACAATGTGCCCTTCCCTGAGAAGCTGCTGACTGCCTTCTGAGCTTGCAAAACTGCAGACGCAAACCGGAAGTGCAGTGCCTCTGTGGAACTTACATGAGAACTTTTTCAAACGAAGAAGCTCTGTTCTGTGGCTCTCCCAAGAACTTGTAAGTCAGAGAAAGACAAATACAATATGATCTCACTTATACGTGGATTCTAAAAAAACTGAATAAATGAGAAATGTAAACAGAAATAGTGTCAGAGACACAGAGGAAAAACTGAGGGTTGCTAGTTGGGAGGGGGTGGGGATGAAGGAGAAGGGGAAGGGACGAGACAATACAAATTGGTAACTACAATATGGCCTCAGAGATAGACAAGACAGTCTGGGGAATATAATCAATAATGTTGTAAACATTTTTTAGGGGGCCAGATGGACTCAGGGAGACCACTTCATAGTCGGTGTAGAGGCCTGACCACCGCACTGTATTTCTGAAGCCGATGTTGAATAATATTGTATGTCAACTATAATTTTATATACATATAGTCACGGGATGTGGAGTAGAGTGTGGGAATGGAGTCAATGGAATTGTAATAGATAAGTATGATATCGGGGGTGGGAGGGCAGTAGATAGGGGAGGGGGGTTGTTTCTGTGTGAAAGGTGAAAAGGATAACTATTGCATTGTTCTGTACACCTGAAACTAACAATAAAAAATAAAAAAATAATCCACAAAGCGGATTAATCCACACAAAAAAAATAAAAATTTTAAATGTAATCATACAGTTTTCTATTCTTGTATTTGTCAATTTTTGCTTTACATATTTTAAGCTCTGCATATAATGCATTTAATTTTGGAATTGTTATGTTTTCTTGAAGAGTTGACCATTTTATTATCATAAAATTGTACCTCTGTATCTCTAGAAATACTTTCTGTCTTGAAGTCTACTTTTTCTGATTTTAATACAGATATACCTGCTTTCTTATAAAAAAAAAAAAGTTGGAAAGAACTTCGAGAACATTGATGGGGTGTCTGCAGGGAAGACTGGCCCTTGTCCTTCATAGAGGCACCATGTTTCAGGCTTGGTTCTTCAGCTTTGCAGGATCAAAAAGTTATGTCATCAGCACCCTCTCTGAGATAGACTCACCTTATCAAGCTGAAGACCAAAATATAAGCCAGAATAGTTTTTTTTTCAATTACAGTTGACATTCAATATTATTTTATATGAGTTTCAGGTGTACAGCATAATGGTTAGACATTTATATAAAGTATGAAGTGATCCTCCCCAATAAGCCTAGTACCCACCTGGCACCATACATAGTTATTACTATATTATTAACTATATTCTTTATGCTGTACTTTAAATCCCTGTGACTATTTTAAATCAGAGTATTTTAGAGGGAGAACCATAATTATCATCATCACCAGGAAGAGTAGAGACCTAACAAATACATCCTGCCATTAGGGCACATCACCAAGCCAGCACACCCTCTCCTCTGAGCCACAGTGGAGTGGCTGCTGCCAGGATGTATCCCTGTTGCTCCCCTTTTCTGTGCTCCATTTCTGGCCAGCTGTCTCCCCTTCTAAGGGACACGTTCATTCTTTGGATAAGCCTGTTCATTCTTTGGATAAAGCATCCATAGGCTCCAGCCAAATCTTGTGGTCAGTAAGCCATTCTCCTTTCTTAAGGTCACTCTTTTTCATGGACCTCACCGCTCTGTGTTGATTTTATGGTTTAACTATCTGAGGAAACCCCTATTTTTATGTCCAGATTCTCAATGGGAGATAACTTTGCTGTTGTCTCCTTATACTGTCCATGGAGGAGTTTCTACCCTTTGCCTGGGGAGAAAAAACGAAACACTTATTTCTCCTTTCCACAGATCTGTTGTTTGGACCCTAAGCAATATTATCCTCTCTACTTTCTGAGAGTCTTTGCTCCTTTCTATTTCTGTAGTTCTGTATCGGCCTCCTTATGCTTTAATAACTATTCTACCTCCCTAAAGAGAAGCTGTTCAGTTATTTCCATATGTTCTTCAAGGTGAAGTCCAGGCTCAGAAAAATTAGGTTATTTCTTGTTTGCCTGTGACAAAGTAAGATTCACATTATTAAAAAGAACCTTTCTCTTTACTTACAAGGGACATTTCTTTGACAAATTATTTCATATTTGTCTTTGCAGCATCCTAAAACATAATGGGGCAGATGAGAGTTTAAGGAGGAATGGTCAAGAATAATGCTGCATTATAACTGCAGTAAATATTCATACACACACGTGCGTGTGCACGCGCGCGCGCGCGCACACACACACACACTAAGGGTGTCAAAAAAATGTATACGTATTTTAAAAAAGGAAAAAACTGTATTAAAATTACACTGATGGTAACCACTTCAAGCACCTCTTGTAATTGCAGAAGTGAAATGTGATTTGTATTCATTTTTTGTTATTGGTATATATTGAGTATTACAATTTCAATACAGTTTTTTCCTTTCTTAAAATGTGTATACTGGGCCAGCCGAGTGGTTTGTTGGTTAAAAGTTGGCTTGGGAGCGCGAGCTCTGAGCAGGAGGGCAGCTGGTTCGGATCCCACATGGGCCAGTGACGCTGCGCCCTCTATAGCTAAGATGGTGAACAACAGCTCAACCTGGAGCTGGGCTGCCGTGAGTCACCGGAGACAGCGTAGGCTGCAGCCCCTGCTGCAGTGGGCTGCTGTAAGCTACTGTGAGCGGCCGGCAGCCGGCGTGAGCTGCCGTCCAATGACCAGTTACCAATCTGCCTCAGCCGGGAAGAACCCAGTGATCACAATACCAACATGAGCCAGTGAAGCGATGTCCTTCAAACTAGACTGAAGAACAAAAGGACAGCAACTTGTCTGTTCGCCTTCCCCGATTCCCTAATGCTGTTCCCTTCCCCCAATTCCCCAATAAAATCTTAATAAATAAATAAAATGTGTATACCTTTTTAGTGCCGTCTATATATATATAATGTGTTTTACAAACTCCTTAAAGGCAAAGAGTATCATATATCTTTGTAGCTGGTATGGTATTTCATCTTCTATATAATACATAAAAAATACTACTGCTTAAAGAAATGAATGAAATAACTAATTAGCTAATGAATCCTCATAACTATTCATAGACGATGGCAGAGTTTTCATCATACTAGTCAAAGAGAAATGCGTTTGAAGCCCCGTTTCAGCCACAGAATAAATTGTTAAATATGGCATGAAGTCATCTAAGTCTCACTACATCTCCCCTGTGTGGGTACCAACACGTTGGACTGAGGCCCTTTGTTCCCTGTGGAGAGTCTGCCACCTCTTCATACTTGTCCTCAGGAATGTCGTTCTAGAAATAAACCAGACTTCTCCCTGGGGACCTTGAATCGTACACAGAAGTTAATTCATTGGAGCAACTGACTTTTCATAGGCCCTTTATAAAAGTATTTCAGAGAGTCCCTCATGGTCAAGCAAAAAAAGTCGGGTTCCTCTTCAGGTCCTTTCCAGCTCTTCCCTCATTTCCTCTCTCTGTGCTTCCTCCATCACCTTATATTTAGCTTTTACTGACAACTTTTACCTGCAGACCCAGACCCCAATTCCTGAGCTAGTGTTGCCTGAAGCAGGAAGCAGACTAGCAAAGCCTCCTTACCCAGCCACCCAGCTCCATTCATTCAGCTTTGGAATGAAATCACATGTCCCAGTCCATCTCTGTCTTCTTGGCAGCCAATCACACTTGAACTACAGCATGCCAATGACAAACTTGTATAATCTGTGTCAGAAGATGGAGCCCAGAAGTTCATCTTTTCTTTTTTCTTTTCATCTTTTTAAAATTTATTTTTTATAACAGAAGTAATAATTGACTACATTTTCAACAACATAAAGCTGTTTATGTCCTTAGTTAACAAAGGACATAACTTTGTTAACTAAGTTTGTAACTTGCATTGCTGTATTATTTTATTACTGTTTTGTATTCTAGAATTTTTTTAAATACAAGAATGCATGTAATGCATGATTACAATAAAATTCAAACAGTAAACAGTATAGAAATAGAAATAATAAAAAGGGAATATATCTCAGAACTTCCTCCCATTTCCACTCCTGACCACTGTTAACAGTTTGATGGTAGCCTTCCAGACCTTAATAAAGTACATTTACATATGTATGTATGTACTTAGGTCAACAGTTCTATTTTTACATAAATGGGCTCATACTAAACATCTGTTCTAAAACTTTATTTATTCACTATCGCCTAGCTTTCCATATCAATATGTTTACCTTTACTTTGTTAACAGCTGTATAATACTCCATAGTTTATGCCATAATTTATTTAAACATTGCCCTATTGATGGGCATTTGAATTACTTCCTGTTTGAGGTTTTAATTATTTGTTATTACAACAATGCTGTACTGAACATCGTTGCATATGTCTGAGATTCTTTGCTTAGACTACCCAAGAATTTCTGTAAGCTAGAAATCTAGAAGTAGCATTGATGAGTCAAAGACTGGGTGCATTTAAATTTTTATATTTTTCAAATTTTACAATTAAGGATTTAAACACTAACCACTATTTCCCTTTCTTCTACAGAGAGTTATATCCTGGGAACTGACATTGACCTTCAGACTATAGACAATGATATTGTCAGCATGGAGAGTTTCTTCAAAGCCTGGCTACATAACAGTGGAACAGACCAAGAACATATCCATCTTCTTCTTTCTTCACAGTCTTTCAGCAACATTTCCAGAGGCAGAGATAATCCAAGTATACACCCCCCAAAAGACATACTATATAGGCTATAATTATCCTAGTCTAGGATTAGAACTCCAGATTGGTGAGTCATCAGAATATAGAGTAGTTGAGGTTTAGGAATTAGAGGAGGATTGGCAGAAGTTGTCCAGTGAAAGCATGAGGAATGAGAAAAGAATTTCTAAAAAGTGACCATTAGAAAACTGAATGTTAGTAAGCCCAAATAGCAAGGGACAGACAGTTTAGAGGCAAAGACTTAGACACCTCAGTAAAACGGCAGCAGCCACAATGCTTAAAAGCACAATGAATCATATATTATTATTTTCTCAAGTTTTTCATTTATAAAGTGGTAGACATTAATGACATTATAATTTGAGGCATGCTGGTACCTCACCAGTATCAACAGACCTATGAGTATAGGAGAGCCAAGATGAAACCAAGATTAAACTGAGGTCTTCTGGATAGGGAGACATCAAACTGAGGGGCACTAAAGCAACTACAAAGGCAGGCCCCAGAGAGGACAGCTAGAAGCCCAAGACCACGTTCACAAAGCATGTTCTGGCAACTATGGAAACCGAGAGATCAATCCAGTGTCCCAGACAGGCCAGCATGGCCCTGGATATTGTTCTGGCTGGTAGTGATACTTCATTCCAAGTCCCTGGATGATAAGAATAAGGCCATTTCTAGTCTCCATCCCCTTTGAAGATTGGCTCAAGACCCATGGTGGCAGGGCCTGCAAATGGACCCATCAGTATAGTCAGTCACACTGAGTTTGGAAAAGCTGACCCCTTAGGGCCCAGCTCCAAAGGGAAAGGACCAAGGTGTATCCTCCCCTTTAGGTGTGGAGTTCAATGAGAAAAAATAGGTATAGTCTCTCAGCCCCAAAGGGGAAAATACACCTTGGTCCTTTCTTTCTGGAGATAACCATAAGGTCCCACCTCCACTCCCTATTTCAACATAGGGCCTCGGTTGCCTTTGACAACTTACCTGGATTTTAATCTGTCTTCTCTCTGAGTATAAAATCTTCTTCCCAGGACCTCCTTTCCACCCCTTTTGTCCAAGACTGATAGTACCAATTGCTCTCTGTCCCAAACTTTGGAATTCATTTCTTATCTATTTTCCCCCAAACACTATGTCAACTCCTTTCCTTGCATTATCCCATTTCATCTTCACACAACATCATAAGGCAGGTAATATTACCATATGTCATTGAATCTAAGATGCTATCAATATTAAGATACAGCATTATTTTATGTACCACTAAGAAAGAAAAACACTGCCAATTAAATATGACACAATGCTTTCTTATCACTTACAAATATTATTTTATCCTTACTGAGAGCTTTTTTAGGTTATAGGTTAAGAGTGAGTTCCTGGCCAGTGGCAATTTAAGAATCAATTAAATACAATATTATCCTTATTTTACAGATGAGAAAACTGAGACTTTGAGAAATTCAACATTGTCCCATGGCTGCAGAGAAAATTAATAGCAGAGGCAGAATTTGAAGGCAGACAATTCCAGAGCCCACTCTTACCCTTAGGATTAGAAATCTATATTTTGTAAATTTGACCACTCTCAGCCCAGGTCTCTCTGCCTCCAGAGCCGGGGCCCTTACTTGCTACACCGCCTGCCTCATGCTGGATAATTCTAAACAAAGGTGCTAGAGATTCACTTCTCTAATTAGGAGGGCAGGGGCCCTCAAAGGTCAGAAACTCCTGCAACCAGCCCTTCTTTCACTGTTGCACAGCGTTTGCCCATGATACTGTTGAGAATTTCTCTGCTTTGCCCTCCCTCTTCCCATGGCTTTTAGCATCAGGATTAGAGCCTGAATGTTTATGTCTATCTGCAACCGTTTTTCAGAAGTCCCAGGTTTTTGGGGTGCATGGTAGAACTTAGATCCAGACTCGTCATCTCTTCTACTGGAGAGGGCTCCACTGGAATCCAGATGCTCAGACACAATTCGAGTAAGGTCTAGGGAAAGTAGGCCTCCTCTGCAGTGGGTTTGACCCAGCTGAGAGTTTATGCAACCACAATAAAGACCATACTATAGTTACCCATTGTTTTAAAAGCTGATGCGTTGCCACACATGTAGATTTCTGGAAATGTGGCTCACTACAAAAAAAAATGAAAGCAAACAAAGACCCTGAGCTCTCCTGCTATAGAATCTTTTGAGGTCTGCTCCTCGGATGTTCACTTTGACTCCTCCTTACAAGGTTCTTCACCGCACACCACCTGCTTCTGTAGCTGCCTAGGGCCCTTCCCTCCCTCTCTAGGTCTTGTTTCCTTCAGAGGCCTCCTTCTGACAGACAGAGTGCTCAGTACGCTTCAGATGAGTGTCTTTTCTCATTCCTTGGGTTGGAGGTCTGCCACCTCGGCCCCTGGGTTCCGGGTGGTGAGAAGCATACCTTGTTCTAGACCTAAGTCCTGCCTGAAACAGCTTTCCCAACTTTGGGACATTCTGCTGAGACTACTGTTCCCATAGTTCTCAGTCCTGGCTGCGATCAGAATCACATGAGGAACGTTTTTCAATACCAGCATCTAGGCTTCATCCCCAGAGATCCCGATTTGATTGCCGTGAGGTAGGGCCTAGGCGGTAGTATCTTTTGAAAGCTCCCTAGGTGGTTTTTAATTCAACCAGAGTTGAGGTCCTCAGCCAGATGAATCCAGCTCTCCAGCCCCAACCGTCCAGGGACCCAACAATGAAGTCAGGCAGGCAGGAGTCCTAGGCAAAGTCCCTCCTACTGACTTCCTGGGCTTAGGTACACACCAGGCCAAGAGCCACCTCACCCAGAATGAATGTCTAGGTCTGATTGCTGGCCCCAGGAGGGCCAGCTGGACCTGACACCTGTTCTGGCATCCTAGTTTTTCTCTACATTATTTCTACTTTTGTTTTTACCTCATGTTGCAGTTGATACAGTCGTTTCGTAAATCACTAACATCAACTACTAGCCTCACAAGTACTCAACATTTGTATATTTGTAAATTTGTGAACAGTATTCAAACCCGGTATACATTTTATTGAAAAACTTGGTAATATCAAGGATTCAAGCCTAGTGCAGCAGCACATTGTACACTGTGGCATGTGGCTATACCTGCTGGAGCAGAAGCTTAATACAGATGAGTATAATACTTTGATGAATAACTCATACCTAGTCGAGGCCCCCTGTGCCACAGTGATGCTCCAAGGCCCAGAAGGTTCTATACTTTGGTTTCTTTGGGGAATTTGAAGTAAGTTGTTTCGGGAACTTATTCTTCCCCCGCCCCCGAATGTCACTAAAAGAGCCCACAGAGGAACAGTAGCTGTCAGCTGACTGCCTGACTTCTGCTTTCCTGCTCTTCCCTCATCTGACCTGCAGTCTTGCCAAAGCTTAGGCACAAGGAAGCAGCAGAGGCAAGATTTCCTTCTGTGATTGCCAGAGGGCCTCTGCATATCATAGTGTTAGCCACCTTCTCCACAGAGGACACGTGTTCCTCTCAGACTGGATCACAAGCCAGATCTCTCACTCTGGGGCAACTGCTGAGCCAGCCCAGAAGTAAAACAAGTAAAAATTATGTCAGACCCAGAAAATGTTACCTATTGCGTAGGGCAATACTGTAGGTTCCAGACCTGCCCTGCTTTCCCAGACCAATTGTACTTTCCTCTTTCCACTCTCCTGCCTCCTCCCAACTGTTACTTGTGCCTGGTGGAGGTGGAATGGGTGGCAGATGTTGTCTCTTAATTGCATGGCCTGAGGTAACTTGTGACAAACATCCCTCCCCCATGCTGTTTTTATCACAGTGTGCCTGAAATGTGATGTCCAAGAGCGACTCCTCAGCCCGTCCTTGCTCCCTGGCACAGCTGATGGCTCTTTGAGAATGGATGACCCCAAAGGAGACTTCAGCACACTCTACCAGATGGCTTCCCAGTCGTCGGCCTCTCGTTACAAGCTCAGGGTGATCAAGTATGGTCCACGGGAATCTCCCCAATCCATGCAAATGCTTATTCTTACTGGGCCCATGACTAGAAAGTCTAGAGAGAGAGGACATCCCCAAGGGACAGGTAGGCGGGAGTCAGGTCCAAAGCAGCAACTACAGGTATGAGCATGAAAGAGCATGGTCAGGCTGTTCGGCATGTGGAGAGGAATAAGCAGATGGTGGAGCTGTGCCTCAGTAGGACTCTGAGGTCTGGATGAGGACTGGAAATCCAGAAAGTCTGAATGCAGAGAAAAACAAGATCTGCAGGAAAGTGGTTATCCATTCAGCTAATGACTGAATACCAGTTGTGTTTAGGCATCAGGACAGAGATCTGACCTTCAGGGAGCAACTGGTACATAGGATCTTCCCCTGCCCTCCCATTTCTCTAAGTACTAGAACTCCTGCTTCCAGGGGGTCCAAGTCCAAAGTAGAATTAGCAATGATGGCAAAGGCCGCTTTTACTGCTCCTAATCCATATGACAGTGCCCATGCACAGGTATCTGAGTGAGCCTGCTCATGGGTTTGTGACCATGGATGCTGCTAGGAACCTTCTTAAATGCATCCTCTTCTTAGATAAATCCTGTCAGCACCTCACCACAAAAGAATTAGGATTCTGATGCAGGTGGTTAGCATACTATTGTGTTATATGGTTGCTGTGGCAGGGGTATTATGGGAGTGTCCCCAGGGAACTCACTTGGGATGGAATGAGCTCAGGAAAAGAAATACCCATCAGTCTTGAGCCTTCATGATAGCTTCATTCACTGACTAACAGGCTTTGAGAATGTGCTGTGTGCCTGATACCTTGCTAGGTACTGGCCATGCTAAGATGAATAATTCACAGGCCCTAACCTAAAGGATTTCAAAGTAAGGTCTTAGACTTACCTGAATTTAAGAGGATCTAGGTCGAGGAGGTTCTGGATATCACTAAGGAGACTTTCACTGCCTCTTTCATTGTCTCTTCCCAGGGCTCTAAAATCCAGCGGGGTCTGCGAGTCAGTGACATATGGACTCCCATTCATTCTCAGACCCACAAGCTGTTGGCAGCTGGACTGGGATGAACTGGAGACAAACCAGCAGCATTTCCATGCTTTGTGTCACAGCCTGCTGGTGAGTACCCATGTCCCCAGATAAGGAAGAAGAAGAGTGTTAAAGTACCAACCACAGAGAAGCAGTTAACTTAATCCTGCCCTGATCCCAATCCTGTCCCAATCCTTCAGAAGACAGGAAAAAACTGGAAATACTCTGAAATGTGGATTAAATATGATTTGCCTTTGTTGGGTTCATGTTATAGAGAATAATTACCGAGTTCAGTTATATGACACTAACCTCGAAAATTCCTGAGCTTTTACATTTAAATGGTAGCGGTAAAACTTCCATAAGTAACTATATTTTAAATCCTATTTTCTTCCTAACACTGTGCTGGACATTATGGTTCATGTAACATTCAGGTTACATGAAGAACACCTAGCCTGTGCCAGACATTGTGCTAAGCCCTAGATATTTAGTAGTAACATAATAGACATTATCAGTGGCCTCAAGAACTCTCTAATAGAAGAGATAGAATTATATATATATATATATATATATAGAAATATATATATATATATATATATATTTCTAACTGTGAGAAGTTTATGAAGGAAAAGAAGAGGCTGCTAGAAGAGAGCCTCTCTGTAAATGTGCCATTTAAACTGAGCCCTGCCAGATTAATGGAAATGAGCCAGGTGAAGGGTGGCAAGAAGAGTATTCCAGGTGCAGGGAAAGGCATGTGCAAAGACCCAAAGGCGGAAAAGACCTGAAAGAAGAATCAAGAATGAAAAGGCCGTTGTGACTGAAACAGAGAGTGCGGGGAGGGAGCCACAGGGAGGAGGACGAGAAGTGAGTGCGGGTCAAATCATGCAAAGCTTTGTAGGCCAAAGTAAGGGCTTTGTACCTGAAGTACAGAAAGAAATCATAAGCTATGACATCACCTAAGTTTCTAAAAGATTACAAAATTTGGAAATGACCTGGCAGAGGCAAGAATGGAAATAAGAAAATGAGGCAGGGCATTGCAGTCGTCTAGGCAAGAAATGATGGTGGCTTGGACTCGAAATGATGGTGGCTTGGATTCGAAATGATGGAAGTCAAGATGAGAAAGGTAAACCAATTAAAGAAATATTTTAGAGGAAGAGTCAGAATTTGGTGAAAGGTTGGATGTAGGGAGTGAGGACGAGGAAAGTATCAAATAACTGTCTGGTTTCTGATTTGAACAAGTTAAGTGTATGCCATTTCCTGAAATGGAAAAACTAAAAGAGCACATACATGAAACAATAATACAACACTTACAAAGCAAAATACAACAACTGCAAATATAATCCAGGAACATGTATACCTGCTTATGTATAAGTGGATATAGCATAAAGGTTTGACCTAGCAGGATACGGGTGTTCGGGACAGCACAGCAATTCGTCTCTTTCACTATCAGAAGCAGACTCCTTTTTTTCCTGTTTCAAAGCCCATGCTCCCTTTTAGGTCCACCCACTGAGTTCCTGTTTCCTATCTGAAGAACACCCATCTCCTGTCTTTGCAGAGCAGAGACAACAGATATGTTCCGACTGTTAGAGACCAACAGTGCAGTTTACTATTTATGCCACCCAGTTCCTCAGGGTCTCAGAGATGCTGCATCACTCCAGAGGAATTTTACTCAAGTGGCTTTAATACATTCTTATAGTACATGATATTTTAAGCAGACATTGGCATTTTACTGCACTGCCTGACGGTGTGTACATGTTCTGGGAAGTGATACCTTCAACACTTTAATTTCATTGCTGGAAATGTAGCCCAAGAAAACAATCAGAAAAGGGAGCCAAGATGCATGTACCAACATGTCCATCCTACTAAGTATGCAAAACTAAGTGTTTTGCATACTTTACCTCACTTAATCTTCACAGTAACTCAGTGAGAATTGGGATTGTTGATCTCGTTTTTTACATGTGGGTAAGACTGATGATGTCTGAAGAGATCACATGACTTACCAAAGGTCACACAGCTGCCAAGTGGCTAAGTCAGAGTTTGAATCTAGTTCTGTGGACTGCAGAGTCAGTGTTTTTAACATCTTGCTAAATTCCCTACTCCGGAGGTAGCCAGATAAATACAGACTACAACACAGGCTGATTCTCCCTTTGCTGAATACCCCATGCTTCTGTCCTTCACTGGACGTGAATTCACTTAAAGTGACTGGGTCCTTGTAACAGCTCCTCTCCCATCTACCCTATGCTCCCTTTATGCTATGTTTGTTTCACCTCACCCAGGTTAAAGACCACTCCTCATTTTCTGGAAAAGAGAGAAGCAAAATAGTGTTTGAATGGCTCTTCCTTCTTGCTTTTCACATGACATTTTCTCCAAGCAGCAAAAGGCGTAAAAGGCAGTGTGCTATAGAGAGAAAAATTTTTTACAAGCCTCAGTTCATTCGTTCAACAATAAGCATCTTTTGAGTGCCTACTATGTTACAAAACTTATTTAGAATTTTAACCTTCCTGATCCTATTCATGCAAGTCTTTAGCACTTCTTTAACTCCATCCTTGTTTTTGTCTTCTTTCTTACACCTTTTACACATGTTCTTTTAAAACCTGATGTTGCCAGCTCCCCCACTCTCTTGCCTTCTGTTTCTCATTGTGACGTTTCCCCTCCAGCTAACTTCTCACTCTAACTTCTGTCTTTCTGTTAATAGCAGCACCGCCATTGTCTACTCACCCAAGCTTGAAACCTCAGTCACTTTCAGCCTTCTGACCCCTTTACACCCACTCCATCAGTAAGTCATATCAGTTTTCTTCTCATAACATGAGTCGGAACTGTCCTTTCCTTCCCATTCACACTGCTTGTTCTCACCAAGACGTCTTCAGTAAACGCCTAACTAGCTTCCCTACCTCCAGTCTCTCGCTTTTCTAATTTGCCCTGCTCGTTGGACCAGATTAATCTTCCTGAAGCATCCCCCATCTCATGTGTTTCCATGGTACCAGTACCCAGTGACTTGAGCCTTGTCTGCTCTGTCCCCATAGCATCTACCAGTATTGCATGTATCTTCTCTCCTTTCTTATTTATCCCAATTCTAGTTCAGGCCCTCTTTACCTCTTTCCTTTACTGTTGCAATAATCTCTTAACTTGTCTAAATGCCTTTCATGTTTCCTCTTCCTAATCCATTTTACATAGTGCTACCAGATTAATCTTCTTGAAACACAGCACTGATCCTGCCACTCTTCAGCTTGAAGATATTTTGTGGCTTACTGTTCATTATACTTTAAAATCCATATTCCTTAGCCAAGTATTCAAGCTCCAGCCTTGTCTGCTATTATTTCCCTTTATGTACCATATACTCCAACCAAATCAATATACAGACTTCAAATTTCCCCACCTTTGGACCTTTGTTCATGTTGTCCCTTCTCCTGTCTCCATGTGTTCAAATCCTACCCCATCCTGAAAGACTCAGCTCAAAATGGTGCTTCTGCACTGAGGCCTTCCTGGGTTCCTGTATTTATCATTAGGCCTTTGTGTGCTCTATTTTTTTTTTTTTTTAGCAAAAAGCATATTTCAATTCTTTCTTAAATATATGATCCTATGACATGGGTTAAAGTCTATGATATAAATTTGACTTTATATGATATAAATGAATAACATGGTTGCCTTTCCCTGGCAGTCTATCACTTCCTCATTTTACCAACTAATTCCTCAGCCTCAGTCAAATTTTGACTAAGAGTAGAAATTCTCTCTTTGTTACCTCTCTTTTTTGGGAGTCAAGGCAAGGCAGTTTTCTCATGTGTTGTGGTAAAATGTAATTTGTGTTGTCCATGAAAAGCATGGACTTGAGCGTCAGATAGCCCTAATGATAGCTTCATTATTTCCCAACTGTATGAACTTAGGCAACATACTTAACTTCTCTAAGAATTGGTGTATTCATCCATTTGTAACCCAGAACAAATCTAGTGGTCCTGTGTGGTTTAGTCTCTGCATAAATGGTAGATAAAGAAGCACTATCCAGAGGCCAAAAAGTAATTTTAAAATTATGCTTTCAAAGAACACCAAAAAGGAAATAGTTCATAGCCTACAATGACATTTTTCAAATTTTCTTTCTCTGCTCCTCAATTATATCTAATCTGGGGCTATTCTAAGACTCTCTCTCTCTCTCTCTCACACACACACACACACACACACACACACACACACACACACACACTAAAACACTGTTTACATCCCCGGTCCCTGTTCTACCTCCCTCTCTCAGCCATATAAATATTCTGCAGATTGACAACCTCCCTCTGACATAGTCCCCTCCCTCTCGGGGCCTGTCTCTTTCTATTTAAAATATCCAGGAATAGAACCTACAAGGCTTCTCCTTTCATGAGTAGAAGTGACGTGGGGGAGAAGAAAAAAACGGAAGAAGGTGCATCAGAGACACACATTAGCAACCCTTGTCCCCATCATGTAAAGTAGAGACAATAAAATAAACCTCATATGGTTTTTAAGATGATTAAGGAATACTGCATATGTAAAGCACCTAGCATATGTCTGGCATATAATTTGCACGTAATGGTTGGTTAGTAGTTCTACAGTTTCCACTTGTTTCTTTTTTTGAGTCTAATTACCTAGAGAAATTCTCCGTATTTTCACCAATTTTCTTGAACATACTAATCATAGTTATTTTAAGGTTCTTATCCGCTAATGCCAATACCTGGATCACCTGTGGCTTTGTTTCTATTGTCTCTGTTTTCTTTTGATTTTCAAACATGTGGTTTCAGACATATGCTCATTGTGCCTAAATGAATTGTAGAGGCCCCAGTTGGTGTCAGCTTCCTCTGGAGAGGGTTCAGCCTGCTCTGCACGAAGCAGATAGAGTAGTGGCAGATCACCTTATTGCCTGAGACAAGGCCAGGCTGCAGTCCTGCTGAGGCTCCATCTACCCCTAGTGTGCTCCTGGCCCTCCAGGATTTTCCACTGAAAACCTGGTATATTATGTGTATCCTTCCCTTGGTGCGATCCCACCTCTAATCCCTCTACCCTAAATCGGCTACAACACTCTCCTTTTAGAGGCTTTCTCCTTAGGCATCTTTGCCTCCTGCTCCATGCAGCCCAGT